TGCTTTCAAAAATGATTAACGAATAATCCATAGCCAAAATGACAACCGAATACGTGTATGTTCATTAATCAACCATGCAGAAGAGAACAAATATGGGAAGGTCTTGTGTTTGTATCTTGTCTGCAGTGTGTCTGTGCCCTTGTAACAAAAAAAAAGAGACTCTTTAGCATCACATGACATTTAGCTTCACGACTCATTCAAAACAAAGACGTTCCAACCACCCCGACAGTCAGAATATGGAAAAAAGTCAAGTCTATAATCTAAGTGTGCTAGTGTTATGGGTGGAAGCTCTGCCTCATTCCACACATTCCATCAAACCACACATCATTAAAGTGGATATTCAGATTTTATGATTAACCGTGGCACTTCCTTAAAGGAGACATACTCAGATATCCAGCTCCATATTATTATTAAACTAGAGTAGATGTGCATTGTTTATAGTTTAGGATAATCCCAATTTATCCTTTTACTTAACACTAGTTGTGTCTTAAACAAGTTTTTATCTGTTCTCCCTTTATGACCACTTTTATGTCAAATTCATCTAACAAATTCATGCAGACAACACCAAAACTTAAAAAACCTGATGCTTTATTGCATATATTTATTTCACCCGTCATATTTCACACACTGTTCAAGTACATATCATGTTTTCGCTGTTTTGTTTTTACAGTTGTGTGTACTTTTCTTTTTAAGTTTTAATAGTGATCTATTTTGCTGTGTCATGAAAAGCACTTCACAACTATGTTTTTGGAAAGTGATATATGAATAAAGTTCAACATTGGTATCCAGATTTGAGAGCATTAACAACTGACCTAATTATCTGAAAGTTTTACAATAAATTTAGAAGAAATGGAAAAGCAAAAGAAAAGGTTTCTTTTAACTTGCGATTAGGTCATAATAGCCCCCGGCTGAACATCTGCTGCTGTGTCAGTTATGAAACTGTGACTCAGTACAATGAGTGAAGGACATGGCAGCTCAACATTCCTGGTGGTGACAGCTACCTGATCCAACACTGGGCACTTGCACAAACGCCCCCCTCCTGCCAGCTGCACACTGGGACTGAGAAGTCCTACAGGGCTCCCACACAGTGACAGAGAAGATTTAGATGAAGAGCGCATGTCATCGTCACTGAAACTGACTGCTATAATAAGAACGCAACAAAGGGACCAGTGCCAAACACTGTGTGAATAAGTGCTGTGCAAATGAGGTACACGATCAAACCTGTAAAACGATTAAATAACACAATGCTTCTCAGCAAATCCAAGAAAACAATATAATGTATTAAACTTGTAGTGATTACCTTAACCCTATAAGTTTAGCCTTCTAGCCTTTTATTTATTTAAACTTTATTCAAATTGTATTTTATTGCTTTGTCCAGCACTTTGGTCAGTGGTTGCTCTTTTTGTAACTGCTTTATAAATACTTGGCTAGCCTAGTACAGAATCATCTTTATTTCTCTTTACGTTCTCAAAGCTAAAAGAGACTTTTCGATATCTTTCTTAAGCCAACTATCAGGCTTAAACCTGCATATCTTCCAGAAACACATCAAAAACTGAAATGAGACACTGACTGCAGCACTGTTCCACAAATGACTCAAATGATTAATCATTGATTACAGGAAGTTACCTGTTCAAATTCGGGTCAAATCTAAGAATAGTAACTGTGTGCACATCCAACGCTGTCTTCGCTCGTACAGTAAGGTTTAAACACAGAAGTTACTCGGCCCTGGCCCGGCCCGGCTCACTAAAGGTCCTCCGACCACACTTTGAAATCCACACAGCATTTAACACAATGTTCCCAATGTCTAGTATCCCTGGGAAGTTATAATGCTGTTCAGTAAGGCTGCAAACACATGCAAAGTTGACACAGAGAGTGCAACAGGCATCTAACCTCAACTATTGACAGGAGAGACACCAACAGCTGACAAAGGGCTTGGTGATAATAGTTGTGAAGTACAGCAGTAAAAAAAAATTCGCTGTGCCGACTTTTTCGCCTCTCACTGAAATTCCCAACCTCACTAGGCTAAAAATCTCGGCTCGCAACATTAGCTAACGTCAGGTATCTGTTTGAAGTTTCTGCTTGCTTACCTTTCGCTGTTTTTTTATTTCGGAATGCTGCCTTGCACGAGTGGGCGGCTTCCTACCCTCGCAGTGCCAGCAGGCTAGCTGGCTGAAAGCAAGAAAGCTAGCTAACGCTGCTAGCCACCCTCAGTTGCTAGTTACCAATCTACCTTTTAAAGTTGGCCGCCTATTAGCTAACTTTAGCCGTTAGCTCGCTAGTTCGCTAGCACAAGTGACAACGGTAAAGATGAACAATCCTGTGCGTCCAACGTCCCAGTATTTTCTGTGTCGCTGTCAAAATACCGCATCAACCAGAAGGACAGACAAATTCTCAGCAGTGACAGCCTGTACTACAAGGCTGACAGGTCAACAACACAGGAACTACAAAACTTGGACATCCTTAAAGGAACTGGTACAACAACGGGCGCTTCCGTGACTGTACTCGACTGCCACCTACTGGAATTATTCTTCTACTTCTTCTTTTTCTGGTGTTTGCCAGCAGCTGGCATCGTTTTGCGTTGCATCGCTCCTTCTATATCTTTAGTTTGTCATTGTCCTTTCGTTCTAAGTCGTCCTAATGAGAAGATCCCTTTCAATAAATAACATTCTCCTTCTCTCTGTTGTGTCCCGCACATAAGCATAATGTATAACCCTAAACTTTGCATGTCTCTTATCAGCTCTCTTGCTTTGTAAAACTTCTTGCACAAGATTAAGACATTGCACACTTTCTCTTTCCTGATTACAACAACCAGTAGGATGCTTTCCTGCAGTAAAAAATGTTCAGTGTAAATGACTGCGTCCTGTTCTCAGCCTACAAGCGATCTCTTGTTCTTTCCGATTAGAGTTCCTGCTTCTTATCTCTCCCACCTTCTTCTGTAACTTCAGCTATTTATCTACACATCTCTCCAATGACTTTGACAGTTTTATATGAATGTGTGTTTTCTTTGCTATTCACAAATTAGCAGGCGAACATTTTATTCTTTGTTTTGCTTAAGTGTGATCTGCACTGTCATACTACCCTGGTTATATGCTTACACAATTTCCTACTTACCCTCTTACTCAAGTAAATAAAGCATTGTCACAGTATAAAACCCTCCCAGCAAGATAGGTTACCATGATGAGTCACAAGGACCAGTACATTATACAACACAGACATCACTGGTATTATCTTTAGACCTCGCCTTTTCATTCTCTAACAATATAAATTTATTCTTACATCATGTTGATATGCTTAATTATCAAGACTGTTGCTGGCATGTGACTAATGTGGTAGTGACTGTCTGGATCTATGCAGGGCATACTGTAACTATGACAATCTAATCAGCTTAGATATTCACTGATTTACTATAGAAAGGCTTAAAAGATCTGTGTACTGAACACAGTCCTATTCTGGTAAGTAATTTATAACCACCACTGAACAGTATTTTTTTAGCTCTATGTGGGCTGAGTAATGGTGACTGTGGGGGGTCATTGGTGCAAGATTTTTTATTTTATTCAACGGTTGCAAATTTCTTCCTGCATCAGAAAATTTGGTAATGATTACAGTCAAGCTGGCCTCAAAGTACGAAAGATATGGCACATTACATTGGGTGCTTTATCCCCATTTATGCCAGGTTTTGGACTAGTGTAGTTGGGGACTGATCCTCTTATGTCCAGTAGAGAGCTCCAGAGACAATGTGTAATTTCCACAATAACCTTAAACACATGATACCTTGAAGAAAGTGCTGAAGTTGTGCAATGAAACTGTTTGACTTGAAGTAAAAGGTACAGAGTGGATTGTGCTGTGTTATACTGCGTGTAAAATCCTTCAAGTAGTGGGAAGAATTAAGGTGCCTAAGGGGCATTAAAGTTAGAGAAAGGGTGGGGGCAGGGCAGGACACTAAGGTGAAGATGGATTAGGCCAGTGACTCTGCAGTAAGCAGCCACTGCTTTTTCTTACATCTGAACCATCTTGTTTAGTTAAAAAATACATGTTTCCTGCCCAGCTTACACCCTCTGCAAAACAGACTGATTTATGTTGCATGGAGCTTTGTCTGAGTGTTCAGGTAGACTCTAAGTATATGATACAATAATGGTACTAGTATGGTACTATTAAAAGGTACTATTATAATAATATAATAGTACCTTTACCCTTGCATTTAGAGCATGATGTTCACCATTGGCCAGATGTCACAAACCGTCAGACTCACTGTCTCCTTCTTGCACCATTTGATCACAAACTTCTCTACTAGTTTGAGGGATAGAATTTACTCTGCTGCTGAAATGACAAACACAGGGCTGGCTGATAGACCCTGAGAAAAATGCAAAGAAAGCACATGAAGGTTGCAATAAAGCAAATACTAATCAATCACTGTAAATTTAAACATCTGTCTCATCTGAGGAGAGCATTTGGCCTATACAAATATGCTACACACTGAAGCCAACAGCCAATCACAAAAACTCTATGGTCACCAAATACCTGCCGCTTTAATATTTTATTCATTTTAATTCTTTATCAAGCCTTTATCAAGGTGGAACCAGGTCTTGTTGGTTCAGTATTCACAGCTGTACTTATGAAGATTAGACAAAAGCTTAGACAAGAACTCTGAGGTTCAGTGGCAGGTGAGCATGTTTGGTTAGTAGTTAATAAGTAAGACTTTGCTTGTTTAAAAAATCTATTAGCGCTGGCAGATGATATGTTTTTATAGGGAAGTTTGTTTTTTATAGACTGTAGCACTGTGTGTATCTTTTATGACTTTTATTGTGTTATATGTTCCTGTTTTATAGGCCTTTGTGAATAACAACAGTGATGCATAAAAAATATTTTAAAAAAACTATACCCCTAACCATATAACCATATAAATATAAATAAGAGACGGTTATATGGGGATTCTGCCAGCAGGAGGCGGTAATGCTGTTGCTTTTTAACAGCTTTGTGTCCGAAGAAGAGCTAAGTGCAGCCAAGCGCTGTCTCTTCCAGCATCATCAGTCCCCCCTCCGTCTCCATCATCTCCCTTCACAGTTAACGTCCAACAAACTGGGTTCTGTTGTTGTCTGTCTACGTAAATTTGACTTCTGATAGCAGGTGCGTTATTATACTCTTATAACTATGTAATTAGACACGCGTGCGGGGGCATTAAAGCAGAAAAGCTCGGCCGCTGGTTTGCGGGACGTTTCCGTTAGTCGGTTTATTGTAACAGCGGGCCCGCCGGCTGCCATGGAGATTAGCATGCTAGCACAGCTAGCCGCCTGTGCTGACATCGCAGCTGTTTATTACATTAGAAACGCGTTTGACAAACGGTGGGCTACATGTAAACTCTTAACACACTGAAAAATAATCCAAGTTACGCGACGAGGATTAAGAAAAAAGATGCGCAGCAGCTAATTTTGTGTTTTATTCTGCAGTTATGACATTGGGTGGAGTAGTGATGAGCATCTCGGCTGTGGTCACCAAAGAAATCCATGTCTTTGGATTAGGACACAGTGTGGAGGTTTTGTGTGCAGGTTATTATTTAAAACGCTGCTAGCTCTGACTTTTCACAGGCTTATAAATGAAAACTAAAAAAAAAACAACCCATTATTTCTTGGATGAGTTTTGACTGAAGGGATGATAATGCATAATCTGTGCATTTTGTTTTGTTTCTCTATTTATGAAATAGTCACGCTCGACTGTAACATTATGGAGAAAAGAGATAAAGAGAACATTGTTATCAGCAACTGGCGGGTGTTCACATGTTAGCAGTGTGATTGGCCCACGGCTACTTTAAATCTCAGTTCAAACAGCCAAACTGATGCACTCCGTTGTTAAGTTTCTAAGTCAGAGGGGAAGCTTAAATTAACTTAATTTTATTTGTGTAAACAATTGAAGATAGGAGTGCTTTCATTATATTTGTTAACAATATAACTAGCGTGTGCAATACCTGTAATTGGCATGTAATAGTATGATAGGGTTCATGTAAAAAAAATGTTAAGAAACAAAACATGAAAAATTGTTAACAACATGGTTTCTTAAGGCCAGTATAGATATTTGGTGATTTAGAATTCCAAAATTATGATACAATCGCCCAATCTTTTTTCCTTCCATAAACAGGTAACATAGACAGATTTCCCTAAAAATTTCTATGTATAGTTTTTTGTTGTTGTTGTTGTTGTTTTGTTTGTTAATGTACTCCTTTATGCTCGGCATTTATACTGTGCTCAGATCAGCTGGTTGTTGAGACTGCTGGTTTTGTGGCCAACGGAGGAGCTACAGAGTGCCCACTAGTGGACAAACTGTGCAACATCATGAGCTGGTATAAATACTGATACCAGCAAATAGCTAATACTTGCTCATAATATGGACTACCAATAAAACTTCATGAACAAGTTCTTTGAGTGAATGTTTAACAATTTCAGGGAAAATGGATTAAATGTAATTTACAAACACTTTAATTCAATTTTAAAACAAAATGTGTCAGAAAGTTTTGTGTATCAACATACTAGAAAAATAGCAGTAAATCTTCACATTTGAGAGTCTGGAAATTTGGGACAGTTTTAGGATTTCTTTGCTTGAAAAATGACAGGTAGAGTAATTGGCTATTAAAGTAGTTGTTCATATATTTTCCACAAGCTTAGTATCACAATACTAGAATATTTTTTTTCCTGGCTTTTGTCTTCATACTAAGGTCAGAGCTTAGTAGTAACCCCATTCAAACCCCCTTTAAACTAGTGAAGGTCTGCTGTTCACAAGTAGGTAAAACGACTGGACTCATATTTGTGGACCAGTAATTTGTTATGTGGTAACGACCTGCTCCATCTTGCAGCATGTCTGACAAGAGTGAACTCAAGGCTGAGCTGGAAAGGAAGAAACAACGGATCGCCCAGATTCGAGAGGAGAAGAAAAGAAAAGAGGAAGAGAAGAAAAAGAAGGATGTGTGTAATAGCAACTATTACATAAATTTTGTAGAAAGGCAGTGCAGCAGTCAGACTGAGAGACTGAAGTTGTTTGTGTTCCGCGCTTTGTAGGGAGACTCTAAACGTGGAGGTGAGGCAATGGGTGGATCTTCAGCCGGCCATGAAGATTCAGACCTGGAGAGGAAGAGGAGGGAGGCTGAGGCTCTGCTGCAGAGCGTTGGCATCACCCCCGACGTACCCCACGGTAAACGCGTGCTGCCACCATGCTCCTGTTTTTTAACATTCACCTCCACTTATCTGCCATAACTTTGTGCTCATGTGCTTGATGGATTTGCAGCGTTTCCAAAGTTCTCTCTAAGCTCTCTGGTTCTGGCTCGGACTCACACTCATGGCTTTCTCCATAACACAATATGTGGATGTTTTTACATGTTTTGCGCATGACACCTAAAACCTGCCTGCCATTTATTTTCATTCTCTCTTCTCTCCCCTTTTGTCTGTCCTTTTGTGTTTTGTCCTCTTTACTGCATGCATTCACCCACTCATTCACACACTTCTTCTGTACCTCCCTCCCTTCCCTCGTTCACTCACTTACTCACTTGCTGTCTCCCTCACTCGCCCACCTGTCACTCACACTCTGACAAACACACACGTGCACACACACACACTTTCACAGCTCAGCCCCTGAGGGTAGTAACAGAAGATACATGTCTGTTTCACTACCTAGTCCCTGCCCCAATGTCTCCCTCCAACAAATCTGTCGGCAGCGATGCAGGAAGTCAAGATTCTGGCGATGGAAACGCAGGACCAAGGTCAGAGAGAGCGAGAGAGATGGGGATTGGTTGCTTATTCTCATTCTTTCTTATGTGATTTAGTCAGTTAAGTGTGCATTAAGTGCATGCTAAGTGTGTGTGTGGGTGTGTGTATTAACAAGTTTATTCTACTTTGATGAATTCTGACCTGTCTGCTCTTTGCCTTTTCACCAGCACGCTGATGTTTCTTAATTAACACGCACTTTTCTCTGTCTTTCTTGCTTTCCTTTTGCCATATCTCCCATCTTTAACATCTCTTATATGGCTCACCTTTTGTCTGTCTTCTGTGTTTTGTTTCATTCTCCGGTTTTCCTGCTCCTTTCTCTCTCTGTCACTTACTAACGATATCTGGTGGTTTGGCTGTATAAGGACATTGCATTGGGATCCTGACCCCTCTACTCTGCAACTCCACTCCGACTCTGAGCTGATGGGGTACTGCACCTCCTCTCTCCTTTAGCTTGTCTTCCAACTTTATTGTGCTTTTTGTTGTGGTTTCATCTTAGATTTGTCCAAATATGTCCATGCATATATCACTATTTATGTCTGTACATGAAAAAAAATGGCATTCACTTTTGTTTCATACTGCAAACCCGTGCGTGCATCTGCTTATTTCCGCAATGTACGTGCAGACGTGGAGCCGTGAGGCTAGGCATGTCCAAAGTGACCCAGGTGGACTTTCTGCCAAAGGAAATGGTGTCCTACTCCAAAGAAACGCAGACACCCACGGAGGCAATGACACACACCGATCAAAAAGCAGGTAAAGAAACACTTTCCCAAACTTTCACCCCAGCTAAATCAAAAGTGAGTGGTGGGAGAAAAAAAGTAATGTGAATCTGTGTTTTGCAGATGAGGAAGAGGATGAGGAGATAACTGCTCCTCCACCAGCAGAGGACAACCAGGAGGACAAAGATGAGCAGGGTGAACAGCAGCAGGAAGGTAAGGAAAGACATTTGTAGAATGTAAACTTTGTGTGAGCTGGCTGTTAACGCTGCTAATGGAAAAAATACAAAGCCTACTGGACATAACCCTTGAAGCTCTTTTCTGAACTGAGCAGTTTCTGTCATATATCAGGTCTGCTTATAGAACAAAACGACTGAGTTTGCATTAGAAGTTATTGAGGGTGGTCTCTGCCTATGCAGCTATCCCTCGAAAAACCTGGAAATGATCATCAAGCCAAATCTTTGTTGAGATATCATGTGTACAGGGAACGTCATCAGATATCGTCCTTATGGGGGGAAAGAGTTAAACTTTTATGGGTTTTAGTGGCTTTTTCTACTCTTTCCAGTATTTCCTAACAAATTTAAAATGGAAAATAAGACATCTGCATTAATGATCAGCATTTACTCCTCTTCCTTTATTTCCGCATAGACGCCCCCAAGGAGCTGACCGAGGAAGAGAAGCTGCAGTTGCTTCACTCGGATGATTTCTTATCATTTTTTGAGCGCGGCAGCAGAATTGTGGAGAGAGCTCTGGCTGAGCATGTGGATGTCTGCTTCGACTACAGCGGCAGAGATCTAGAGGACAAGGAGGGGTGAGGCACATGACAGAAGAAAGTGTCAATGCTGTAAATAGAAATGAAGTGATTTCATTTCCTCGTGTCCCTTTTCAGTGACTTGCAGGCTGGGGCAAAGCTGGTTCTGAACAGACAGTTTGCAGATGAGCGTTGGACTAAAAACAGAGTGGTCACCTGTCTCGACTGGTCTCCTCAGGTAGGAAGGCTCATGTGTCCATAACAGCACCCTCAGCGGGAATTCAGGGTTATTCGGGCACACACGCAGAGGTTCACATCTAACAAGTGACAGCTAACTAAAATTCAGGAACTGTAATTATGTGTATAGTGACTGACTACTAATTAGATTAGTGCTACTGAATGAATCTTACTAGGCACCATTGCTCCCTGTCTGCTCTTACTAATGACTGCTATGTTTCTCTTAGTATCCAGAGCTGCTGGTGGCCTCATATAACAACAATGAGGACGCTCCACATGAGCCTGATGGTGTGGCACTGGTCTGGAACATGAAGTATAAGAAGCCCACCCCTGAATACATCTTCCACTGCCAGGTAAAAGACGCATTTCAAGTACAGAAAGCTTCTCTTCTTTCCACTTGGAATAAGAAATACTTAAAACATTACTGTTGTCTCTCCCCAGTCTGAAGTGATGTCAGCCGGCTTTGCAAAGTTTCACCCCAACCTTGTGGTGGGTGGGACATACTCGGGACAGATAGTATTGTGGGACAACAGGAGCAACAAGCGCACCCCTGTGCAGAGGACTCCCCTGTCTGCAGCTGCACACACAGTAATGCACTGGACCACACAATCTTTCATTGTCTACACACACTTTTCTTTTCCTGCATCTTTTTAATCTATGAACTGTGCACCACTGTGTGCAGCACCCAGTCTACTGCGTGAATGTGGTGGGAACCCAAAATGCCAACAACCTGATCAGCATTTCCACTGATGGCAAGATGTGCTCCTGGAGCCTGGACATGCTCTCCCAGCCACAGGTACACGAGATGTATGGACGCATGTACAGACATGCAGACATAACATCAATGACCTTTTTTGCTGCCACAATGAACACAGACGTAAATATGAGCTGTTTTGTCTGAGACTTTGTGCAAATTCCCTGCAGGACAGTCTGGAGCTGGTGTTCAAACAGAGCAAAGCGGTGGCTGTCACCTCCATGGCGTTTCCTCTGGGTGACGTTAACAATTTTGTGGTAGGGAGCGAAGACGGCTCTGTCTACACCGCCTGTCGCCATGGCAGGTAAGACCCTGTAAAATGCCTGTATTTCTACTATAATAATATATAAAGTCTCTGTACCCATTTAAGTGAGAGTGTTAAAGCTCTCAATGTTGGGGTTAAAAGGTAAGGTAGCAGAGCTGTCCTGTGTGTGTTACAGTAAAGCAGGCATCACTGAAGTGTTTGAAGGCCACCATGGTCCGGTTACTGGACTGAGCTGCCACAGTGCTGGAGGACCTGTCGATTTCTCTCACCTCTTCATCTCGTCCTCGTTTGACTGGACCGTCAAACTCTGGAGCACTAAGGTGAGACTGAATCAGTCACTTTTAGCATGAGTCAAGATTAGAACAGTTTCCAGACATAAATCTATTGTTTCTCTCTGCCACTTCCACCCACGCTTTCCCTTGTAGAGTACCCGTCCACTATACTCTTTTGAGGACAGTTGTGACTACGTCTACGATGCGATGTGGTCTCCAACACACCCTGCCCTGTTTGCTTGTGTGGACCTAGCTGGACGTCTGGACTTGTGGAACCTCAACAATGATACCGAAGTATGCCCAATTTTTTACATGAGTTACAGAATTGACTTCGGATTTGAGAGAGAATCCAAAGCGTACCCGAGCAGGTATGCATCTGCTTCTCGGTAAGCTCTTGTGTGTATTTTAGGTTCCAACTGCTAGTGTGTATGTGGATGGGGCTCCGGCACTGAACCGTGTCAGATGGTCTCACACTGGAAAGGAGATTGCCACTGGGGACTCAGAGGGACAGGTTCAGGTCTATGATGTTGGCGAGGTGAGATGTCAGCTCCTTTTGTGTTTTCATGTAATGCCACAAATCCCCCCCTCAAACCCCTCCGTTTACATGCATCTCTCTTCCTGCAGCAAATCTGTGTTCCCAAAGCGGATGAGTGGACCCGCTTCGTCAGGACGCTGGCTGAGATCAATGAAAACAGAGATGAAGCTGAGGAACTGGCCAATGCATGATGTTGCAAACCCCACCCACCCTCACACGCAACCACTCATACAATTCTCTCCAGTCCGCTACACCTATAGTACATTACACAGTACTGCCAGAGGAGCTGCGCTCGCCTCTCTGGTTGCCAGCTTCTCCACATTCTACATTTGGCCTGAGGAGATGTGCAGAGCTAGAATGGATAGAAGTGGCAGCTTTAGATGTGTTTTTGAATGTCTCTTTCAGAGTTTTAGAGTACATTTGTAGGAGCAATGAATGTCAGGTGTAGTAGTAGCACAAAAACCAGAGTAAGTTGTTGAAAGCTTAGAGGAATAGAGGAAAGTGATGTTCAGCGTAGATGTGGCTGTCCACTCTGAACTTCTAGCTTTGATAACATCCTCAGGGCTCCAGAAACTGCTCTTCTCCTGAGGCCTCAACAGACTCGGCTCTTTTTTTAAATATGCAAACCTTTGTACTTGCACCTTTTTATTACCATTTGAGTGTTTTTACATGTTTTCCCAGACACGCTTGTGCACAGCTGGCAAACTTTGAAAAGACTGAAAACACCCTTTTATTCTGAGAAGCACTAAAACGGCTAATGCACTCACACACATAGATACCTGGCCTGTGCAGAAGCGTGTCATTCTTACATTTTAACCACTACAATATTTAATATTTATCACGGTGGTTGTACTTATTTAAATATTGTGTGTATTATTTTAAAGACGCTGCTTTGTACTAAAAGTTTGAATTGTACAATCTTGAAATTAGCACTACAAGCTTCTTAATAAGCAAAAATATGCTACTCTACTTTGCTTGAATTTATTGACACTAGTACAGTGAAAAGGGGATGCGTTTTTCCTGTACCAAAGGTTAATGTTATTGGAAACAGTTCCCCGACACATCCTCTTTAAGAGGAGCCAGAAAAACTAAATGAAGTTTTAGATGAAGGCATGAAGCAAAAGTTGGAAACTAACTTAACCACAAAATGGGAGTCCTTTATTTCGCTTTTTGTCCATCCTGTTTTTCATTCCTTCCATGATTGATGGATTCAACATCCTGCCTCACAAAGTTAACATTTAAAACAAAAAACAAAGCTTAAAGCACACTGAAGCAACCACACCTGATGTAAAATAAGACAAGTGCTCTGCTTACACTACTTGTACTGTATTCTTCTCCATTTCTGTTCCTGATACAATGGATGGTTGCACTTTCCCATTGGAATAAAATTTGAGACATACTGGTAAAATTAAAACCATATGGATTATTTATTTCATTAAAATACAATGACTCAAATGAGATACACTTAATTTATTAAGAACTAATTCTCTGCTCATGATTCTTCTTTTTAAATCAAGAAAACACTTGAAAAGTTCTGTACATCAGTAAGAGTGATTCTCAGAGGCGAGAGCCCAAAGCCCCACAGTGCCATAACATTACAGTTACTGAACTGTTCTGTTGACTGAATGTTATGGAGCTCTCTCGTAACATCTGGTCAGTACAGTTATACAATATGTACAGTATCAAACCTCCTGAATGAGGACAGGTTGACAGTGAAGCCCCACATACCGTGCAGATCAATCTAATATTTCCTATACCCTCTGTCCAAGAAGAGAAGTCCTGCTCATACTGAGTATCAGACAGAAAACAAAATGAAAATCATATCATGAGAGACAGAGGAGTGCCCAAGGCTCCGTTTTGAGAAGAAGAGAAAAGATGAAGCTGCCAGGAGCATACAGCCACTGAAGATTGAACACAGTCAGAGATTCTGGTCCCCATCGCTGTCTGCTCTGTTGTACAGCTGCAGGCAGCTCTCCACCTCTATGGCTGGCTAGTGGCCACTGAAGCACACCTTTTACCCCGAAGAGAGTAATGGGCCAGTGGTGTTTGTTCCTAAGTCAGTGACCTCTTTTTGTGGAGTGTGTGCTTCATTTGTGTGTCTATCTGAGTGTCTGGCTCCTGGTAATGGTGGAGAGGGATGATGAAATGATATGGATATCGAGACCTCTACGGTGCTTGAGCTGGGTGATGTATGGAAGCCACACCGGACGACTTGAATTTGGGAAGGTGGAGTCCAAATTTATTCTCCACCCCAGCAAAGGTAGCTGCAGCCAGGTGGTAACCTCCAATGTGGTCCACATTGATGGGAGGAAGCTCTGAGATTCGAGACTTGGGTTTGGGTTTGGATCCAGCTGGACGACTGCAGAGAGGAGAGGACATGACGAGTCATTTCACAACCAAAGTTGTTTAGTAACTTTGTAGGCATCAAAATGTATTTTTTATGGTTGAACCATCCATAATAATAACTACTTTAATGGACTTCAAAAGGTCTGTTTTTAAATGAGACGGCCTCCCTTAATCAACCCCAAAGCGGTTGACTAAGTGTCACTTTGTTTTTTCTGAGGGAATTTGTAAAAAAAAATGTAACTGCATAAGGGAGCAAAACATGGCAAAAACATCACTAAAGAGATAAAATAGGGTAAAAGAGTGCAGTAAAGAAAACTTAGACCACAAAGGAAAGTGGTTGATTTAAGGCCTTTAAAGAGCAGCAAATTACAAGATTGACATGAAACATGACTCAAAATGTTTTCAAATATTGGAACCCCCCTTTCACAACTGTGCTTGTGATATCCTCATTTCAAATAAATGCCATCTCCTCTGATAATTTATACCTAATGTATCCAAATACTTTGTGGCACCACTGTAAGTCTCTTTTATACGGACATGTGTTACAATGCTTTGTAATATAGCAATGTTACTGTGCTACAGCACACTGTTCTCTCTCATCACAGGAGCGCTGACAACTTTCCAAACATATTTTTAAATACTTATATGGATACAAAACAGAAGAAGACTTAGCTGGACACACATATTTAAAAGAAAAAAAGAACTTACTGTCCGCCAAAGTCAACGTAGAACCACCGTTGCAAGAGTTCATAAGTCACCAGAGTCACACCAAACTGAGGAGAAGATCGGCACATACGAGCTGGAGAAAAGAAAAACAAAACAAAAAAAACCCCAAACAGTTTAGGTTAGTTTAACTGAAAAAACCCCAAAACAATCAGAGACACAGCGCATCTACTTGTCCAGTGATACACAGCCACACACCTCCAGCTCCCTTCCACAAAGCTCTGAAACCTTCCTCTCTCAAAATCTTCTTGAAGCAATCGATGACTCCAGAGTAGGTGGTCTGCCCTGCCCTTGCCGCAACTTGTAGACGTGTCTTAATGACATCAGCAGGTGTCACAAGGGAGGCAGCAGGAATACCTGGAAAACAGTTACAGGGAGTCATGAAGCTAATGGAAAATATGGTCTTTGTGCTTTAAGTGGAAGTGAAAAACAGTATGCACATATTTCTCTCATGGTTTTCTTTATAAATTGTAGCACAGATCAGATGGCATGCTAATCACCTGCGATTGCTCCAGCACTGAGAAGCTGCAAAGGTCCCAGCCTGCCTTGTTCATCAGCTAGTTGAGTCTTTGTGTGGGCGTACACAGGGAAATAGATGGCTGAGAAGGGGATGTCCCTTAAAAAACAAGCTTTAGCACCCTAAAAAGACACATTAAAGACAGAAAAATGCAACAGTGAAAACCAGATGTAAAGATGGCAAGTGTCCATAGATACGAGAAGCTTTAAGTGAAAGAATTTATTTCTCCACCAAGGAGGAAAGAACACCGTTTGTACTGCTACTCTCATGATTACAGACTGCTCTTACAACCTGGAGAGGGTTTCATACGTTTCAAAGAATGTTACCTTATAGAGACCGAAGAAGCCCAGGTCACGGACCACACTCAGTGCACTGACTCGAGGTCCAGTGGTGATCTCACCTGCAACCTGCAGGCGGATCTTCACAATCTCCAGAGGGTTGGTAAAGATCACCTGAGAGGCTCCAGCCTAAATACACAAGGAAAGAAGGCAACGGATGACTTTTCCACGCTTGCAATTTTAAATCTGCTTCTGCATCTCACATGTATGCAGCTCAGGGATGGGAACCAAGTTTTTTTTTCTCATGAAAAAGTATCAAAAGTAACAATTACATCCTGATCGATCAATTACTTTGCCATTTCCTCGGACGGTAAGGAGTGCTGGGCCAATGTGTGTAAAGATGAACAACGCTATCAAAAACAAAAACAGAAAAAGAACATGTTGCATTGGACATTCGGTTCACTCTGGGAGCAAATTAGCAGTGCATCCACTGTTAGTAACGCAAATCGGACTCGGCAGGCAACTTAACGCAGCAAATGAGAGGACTCCATGCATGTTACTGCACACACTCTTAAGTGACTATCCACATTTTCTTACTGAGTACTCTTTGATTCATTCACACATTCATTCATTAAAAAGAGGAAAAGAGAGAAAGTCTGGCACTCAGTACTTACACAGCCACCCGCCATAATCTCAGCGAAGAGAGGAATTGTGTCATCTTTTTCGGTAAACTTATCTCTTACAAAGTCATTCACCTGTGGGACAAAAAACCCAAAAAAAAAAAAAGACAAACTCAATCAGCTTAATCTTACTTTTGTGGAGCTGCCTCAACATAATGCCCTACTGCCCCTACTGTTGAAATGCTGTACAGGCATCTTTATATGGTGGCCCTGAGAGGTCAAACCCACAGCGACTTAAGAAAACACCAACAAACAGAAAAAGACACAACAGAAATGTTTTTGGGGAGACGGTAACGTGACGGAAAAGTTACGGAAAACACTTTTCCATTTCCATTGTGTTTTGTGTGCTTTTGCAGCGTTTTTGTATTTAGTGATGTTTACTTAAGCCAATGTATTGTTATACTACAAGAACCTTATCTCAACACTTACAGAGGAAGTCCCCCATTATCTGGTTTCTCTGTACTAAAACTGCTAACAATAATCTGAGTTTCTACAACCCTGCTGTGAACCCTTTAAGCTCTTGCTTTAGTTCAGGTAGTCTCCAGCATATTAGGAAATACTGAGTGATGTAACTGTGATTGATCTTGACACAGTGCCTCAAAAATAATGGACGTTTTCAAAAAATACAAAAAGGAAAAAAAAGGACATGTAAATATTAGCGCAGAAGGACTTTGACATTGGCTGCACAAACAGCTAAAAATAGAAAGACTGCTCTAAACATTAAACACAAAAATGTACCAAAAGTGAAGTCC